TTCGTTGTCTTAATATTTAAATTCTTTAGACATCAGTAACAGCATCCTGTACGTTCAGTTTAGTCTTACCGAAGATTTGTCAGATTTGTTCCAATTACTATGGAACGGTCGAGACTGGCATAGTGTAGGAAGTAAATGGTGACAGCCTGTTTATGTCACGTGGGGGAGCCTGCTGGGTGGAGTGGCAGGAATTGTTGGAGGAAGTCTGGGCTTCAGTTACAGCCCTGCTTCATAGTTCAGACATTAGACCAAGTCTGATGGGGCCGAAGATGGCTCATCTGCAGACTTGGGCTACGCCTGGGTAGCCTGTGAGGGTCGGACCTGGGTAGCCTGTGAGGGTCGGAGTAGAATGGAGTGTAAGTGCTCGGTGCTAAGCACTGTCGGGGGAATTGTGCCCCTGCTCGAGCACCCAGGGCAGCGGCTAGCCCTCCATCCGGAAGCTGCCTCTGTCTAGGATGGAAAGCTCTGTTGCTTGTGTTAGTATTTTTGTAGCTGTTTTCTTTCAAAAGTAACTTAATTACTTCCTGAAGAGTTAGGCTCTTGTCAGTAATGGAAACTTTCAAGTTTCAGTAGGTGAGTTGATACTTTGAAACAGAAGATGACTGTCTCAAAGACAAAGTCATAAGGACCGAAAAGCTACTAAGAGCCATGTAGGACTGTACCTAACACCTGTATTCCCAGCACTTTGGGAGGCCGAGGTGGGCGGATCACAAGGTTAGGAGTTCAAGACTAGCCTGGCCAACATAGTGAAACCCCATCTCTACTAAAAATTCAGAAAATTAGCAGAAAGTGCCTAACTTTGTTTTTTGGGGATAATTTACAAGCTTCTAGGAAACAAACATTTGTATACTGGATATAAAGTTTTAAAAATTTAGAGCTGGGTGTGGTGGTACACACATGTAGTTCTAACTACTCAGGAGGCTGAGGCAGGAGGATCACTTGAACCCAGGAATTCGAGTCCAATCTGGGCAACATAGTAAGAACCGCATCTCTTAAAAAAATATATTTGAATTAAATTATGACTTTAGTATTTATACACCCGAAATTTCTAGGTAATCTGTAGTGCGGGGTATAAAACTTCACATAAAAACACTGTCCCTCCAGTTGCATGATATAGAAAGAGCCAAGGACTAAGGATTAACAGGCCCCGGTTTGAGAAAATTATTATAGGTATATAGATGTGTAGATGAGAGTAGAATCATGGAGCAGTTTGTTTATAGAGAAAATTTTTAATAGCGAAAATGAGAATTTCTCAATCCTTCTTCAAGATCCAGAGCTGATGGGCGTTGGTTCCCTGCTGAAGAAGTACACGGCCCTTCTGTGCACGCACATTGGAGATACACTGCCTGTGGCAGCCAGCGTTGCATCTACCAGCTGGCGGCACTTTGCAGAGGTGGCTTGCATTGTGGAAGGGGACTTCACCGGTACCTTTTGTTTCCTGCTTGTGGACATGTGTGTTTTGGGAGATAGATGAAAACTAAAGTGTCTTTCCTGATCCTGCCAGCATTTACTCTGTGAATTTTCTGGGCCTTCTGCCCTTTCACCTTTGTTTCTTCTTTTTTTTTTTTTTGAGTTACAGTTCTGTTGTTAACCAGCTTGCCTGGGACTCATATCACTTTAAATATAATTGGTAATTGAGATGTATACTTCCATTATTGACACTTCAATAGCGAGCTCAAATGTAATTGTCTGATTTTATTTTGATAGCATAATAAAAATTAGGTACCTCATTAAGGATCTTAAACATTCTGATAGTACCTGGTATGTTTTAAAGTTAATTTTTGGAAGTTAGAGCATTATTTTTGAGTGTTTTTTTCTGATGATAAACATCAATAAGCAATTCATTTTCTGAATAGAAGACTGTTAGTTCATAGTTCTGCTATTGAAATACAGTGTTTTGGAAAATATTTTTATAATTTAAAGGATTCTGTTTGATAGCAATACCTGTCTCTTTCAACATAAAACAAAATAATCCTGTAGAAATATGCTAAAGGACAAACATTTCTTATTTTGTGACTTAGCAGAATTTAAACACAGAACAAGTTTACAAATAGTTGTTGTAGGTTAAGAACTTATTTAAATCTTATTATTTCTTAAATGTAGGTGTTCTCCTTCCAGAACTAGTAGTTTCTGTAGTGCTTCTGCTCAGTAAAAATACTGGTCTCATGCAAGAGGCTGGAGCTGTGCCTCTGCTGGGCGGCCTGTTGGAGCATCTGGATCGGTTCAACCACCTGGCGCCAGGAAAGGAACGGGATGATCATGAAGAGTTAGCCTGGCCTGGCATAATGGGTATGGTGTCTTAAAGGACTTTTACTGAGGAAACTTTTATTGTTCTTGTCTAACCTATTCTTGCCTCTTAATTTGAAAGAATACTTTACAAAGGAAGACCAATTATTTGCCATTTCCACTGATAGAAGCATAGGTGAAAAATGAAGGTAATCCAAATCAGAAGAAATTTGGGTCAGATACGTATGACTCAAATTATATATAATTTCCTTTTTGGAGACCATATCTTGCTCTTTTGTCCAGGCTGAAGTGCAGTGTCATGTCAGCTCCCTGAGCTCACTGCAACCTTTGCTTCCTGGGCTCAAGTGATTCTCCTGCCTCAGCCTGCTGAGTAGCTGGGACTATAGGCATGTGCCACAACACCCAGCTAATTTTTGTATTTTTAGTAGAGATGGGGTTACCATGTTGGCCAGGATGGTTTTGAACTCCTGACCTCAGGTGATCCACCTGCCTCAACCTCCCAAAGTGCTGACATTACAGACATGAGCCACTGCTCCAGGCTATCTTTGGGTTATATTTAAGGAAGATTTTTCCATTAGTAATCATTGTAAAGTACCGATATGAAATTTTACAAAGTCCTGGTGCCTCCAGAAGCTGCTGCGGAGGTAGTTATTCGTGTTCCAGCTCAGGAGGCAGAGACTGATATGGGAAGACTCTCTAGAGTCCTCTGGTTGTCTGATATTAGTGGAATGCAGAATTCCTGGAGTCGACCTGAGCACTTTCTTGTAGGCATTGCCTTTAGTGCATCCCAAATTGGAATGAAACTTATCTTCTCAATGTTTTGAGCTTTGGGTTTTTGGGTCTACGTTACCATGCTCTCTATGGTTCTAGCTTCTTGGACCCAGAGTCAGTCAAGATCCTGGTTAAACTTTGATCTATATGAAATCTCAAGCTGCGTGGGCTTTTTCTTCTTCTCGTGTTTTAGACCATTGTCTTTCTAACATGGGAGCTTAGAACAAGAGGTAGCAGTTGTCCTGAGGAAAACAGCCGCAGGTTGTTGAACATGGCTTTTTATTTTTAAAACAGTTACTACTTTCAGCTCCCCTTTTGTTTAGGAGTGAGCTTACACAGTCGCGCTACTTTGTCTCTACTAACGTATCATATGGTTGAGGGGCACTAACTTGATCAGATAGCAGCTTACTCACTGGAAAGCCTTTTTAAGTTGTGATATGTAACACATATACAAAAGTACCCAGTACATATCTGTAATTGATCACAGAAAACCATGTCACAGCCATTCAAGCCTTAGCCTGGATCATGGAGGACCCTCCCAAACGTTGACTCATTTCTCTGAAAAGCATGTGGTTTTCAGGCTGTGTGGTTGTCACCATCTTCCTTCTGATCATCTTATACCAAGTGCTTATCCCTGCCCAACACGATTTTAATTTTGTCTGTTCTCGGACTTCATATAAGTGGAATTAGACAGTATGTACCTTTTGGTTTCTGAGGTTCATCCCACTGAACAAAACAGGTTCTTTGATTTTTATTCCATATATAGTACACTTTTGTTTGAATATACAACAACCTATTCATTCTACTTGTTGATGGACATGTAAGTTGTTTTCAGACTTAGGTTATAGTAAATATGTTACCTTTCTTTTTGAGTCAGGGGTTTTGCACTGTCATTCAGGCTGGAGGGCAATGGCATGATCATGGCTCACTGCAGCCTTGACCTCCCAGCTCAAGCAGATCCTTTCACCCAGGTGGGACTACAGGTGTGTGCCATGATGCCTGGATACATTTCAAATTTTTTGTAGAGTCAAGGTCTCCCTCTTTTACCCAGGCTGGTCTCAAACTCCTAGGCTCAAGTGATCCTCCTACTTTGGCCCCTCAAAGTGCTGACATTAGAGGCATGAGCCAGCACTCCTGCCAATATGTTAACATTCTCACATTTGTTTCTTTAATCATTTTTTCTGTCTGTTTCTTGGTGGGATTGTTGGTTTGTAGAGGATGCTTTAATACAGAATGCCTGTTTTCCACGGTGATGATGCTGTTACTCATCTCCACTGCAGTGAGAATTCTGTGTTCCACTTCGGTGCACTACCCATTTGAGCCATTCCGGTGGGTGTACACTGGTATCTCATTGTGGTTTCAATTGCATTTTCTAGATTATTAATGAGGTTTGATACCGTTTCATATGTGCATTAATCAGTTGGATATTCTTTTTTGTGAGGCGCCAGTCGAAGTTTTATACCTATTTTCCTATCTGGTTACCTTTTTTTCTTTTTAGTCCTTCATGTGAGTGTCATTGTATGTTTGGGATATGAACTTCTGGCTCTCTTTCTCATAGAGCTTTTTCTCTCACTCAGGCCTGTGTAGTGTCACTTAAAAGTGTTTTCTGATGAACAGAAGTTAGTGAAATCCAGTTTGTTTCTGCTTTAATGGTTATTCATTTTGTTCCTTCAGAAATCTTTTTCTTACAGATTTTCTTTTATACTTTAAAGTTTTATTGCATTAACTTTCATATTAAGAGCTATAGTACACTTGGACTTTATTTTTGTGCATGTTGTGAGATAGGGGTCACATGTCATTTTTTTTCCCATAGGCATTTTGTCCATAGCATCTTTGTGCCAGCTCCTTTGGGTGAAAAGACTGTCCATGGTCATATTCTGGGGTGCCGCCTTTGTCTGAACCAAGTGATTGTCTGTACTTGTGTCTGTTCTAATCTTGCAGCTTTTCCCTCAGTGACTTACTGCACTTGCTGGCACCTATAGTGTGTTGTGGAGTAGAAATGGCAACAGTGTGCTTCCTGGCCTTTTTCTTAGTAGCAGAGAAAAAGCTTTCCAGATTTCACACACGAAGTATGATGTTTGTTTTAGGAGTCTCTTTGTAAGTACTTTTGAATCTTAAGGATGTTTTCTTCTGTTTCTGCTCTGCGATGCTGTTTTAACTGTGATTGGCTGTTAAACTTCGTCGGATGCTTTTCCTGCATTACTTGATCATAGAATTTTTATGTTTTTCTGTTAATGTGTGACTTACTGACTTCAAATGTTGACACTGTCTTCCATTTCTGGAATTAAACTGCTTTGATTATGATATTGGTTATATGGATAAATATTTCTGGTCTTGGTTTGCTATTTTTTAAAGACAGTTTTGCATTTGTATTTGTAATTTTTCTGGATTTTGCATGCCATTTTCCTTGTGATTTTTTTTTTTTTTGGTGACCTACAATTTTCTTTTCTTGTAATGCCCTGTAAGTTACCGGTATTGACCACCACCCCTTTACTAACAGAGCAGCTGTAAATCAGGAAGAGGGTAATGCCCATGCAGCCCTGCTAGCTTCCATCTCTCCACCAGAGAATGTTAGCGAGCTGGGGGAGGTACTAGCTGATGGATCCATTGGCAGGAAATGTAATAGCCATTCAGGTTTTTGTAACCAATGTTGTGCTGGTCTCATAGAGTGAGTAGGAGAATGTTTCTTCCTATTCTTTTCTTGGAAGGGTGTGTATAAGATTGGTAAAATTTGCCATGTAAGCTCTCCGCAGGCCCCACCCAGGCGGCTGCCCGTGACCTGCCTGGGCGCAGGGAACGGAAAGCCGGAGGGGGCAAGATGAGTTCAATTTGCCATGGGGCTGTTGGTTAAAACCCAGGAGAAGCCACCAAAAGAACTGGCCAATGAATGGTCATTGAAGATAAGAAAGGAAATGAGAGTTGTTGACAGGCAAATAAAGGATATCCAAAGAGAAGAAGAAAAAGTGAAATGATCTGTGAAAGATGCAGTCAAGAAGGGCCAGAAGGAAATGTGCACGGTTCTGGCCAGGGAGATGATCAGGTCAGGGAAGGCCGCGAGCAAGCTGTATGCATCCAAAGTGCCCATGAACTCAGTGCTCATGGGGATGAGGAACCAGCTTGCGGTCTTGCGAGTGGCTGGTTCCCTGTAGAAGAGCACAGAAGTAATGAGGGCCATGCAGAGTCTTGTGAAGATTCCAGAAATTCAGGCCACCATGAGGGAGCTGTCCAAAGAAATGATGAAGGCTGGGATCATAGAGGAGATGTTAGAGGACACTTTCGAAAGCGTGGACGACCAGGAAGAAATGGAGGAAGAAGCAGAAATGGAAATTGACAAAATTCTATTTGAAATTACAGCAGGGGCCTTGGGCAAAGCACCCAGTAAAGTGACTGATGCTCTTCCAGAGCCAGAACCTTCAGGAGCGATGGCTGCCCCAGAGGATGAGGAGGAGGAAGAAGCTCTGGGGGCCATGCAGTCCCGGCTGGCCACACTCCACAGCTAGGGGCGGCCCACCTGCTGGGTGTGCACGCACTCCTCTGAAGAGCTGCCATTTTATGTATTTCTTGGATTACACCTCTCTTGTGAGGACTACCATTTTGTAGAAGATTCTGTTTGTCTCTTTTCACTCTCTGCCCAGGTTTTGGGATCTTAAAGAGGTTGTTCTTATAAAGGTTGTGTCAATAAATGCATCATTTTTAGGAGTATAGAGAGAAATGTCTTATTGTGGGAAGGGGAAAGAAATCCATCTTCTCATAAAGCACTTCTGAAAATACAGGTGATTGCCTGAATGTTGAAGACTCTACTTTTGTCTATAAAACACTGTATAAATGAATTTTAATACATTTTTGCTTTAGCCCTTGGCCCTCCGCAAAAGAACTGCCATGTACGTGTACTGTTTAGTGACGTTAAGTACGTTTACGTTGTTTGGCAGCCGTCACCACCACTCATCTCTAGGACTTTGCATTTCTCCCAGCTGAAAGTCTACCCATTAAACACCAGTTTCCCCAGCACCTGGCAGCTACCATTCTGCTTCTTCTTTGTAGACTTGACTAATCCAGGTACCTCATATATGTGGCACCATACAGTACTTATCCTTTTTGGATGGGCTCATTTCACTTAGCATGTCTTCAGGTGTTCATCCGTGTTGTAAAAGGTGTCTGGATTTCCTTACATTTTTTTTTCTTATTATACTCGAAGTTCTGGGGTAAATGTGCAGATCGTACAGGCTTGTTACATAGGTATACATGTGTCATGGTGGTTTGCTGCATCCATCAGCCCGTCATCTGCATTAGGTATTTCTCCTAATGCTCTCCCTCCCCAGTTCCCCCACCTCCTGCTACGCCTCCCCTAGCCCCCGCCACCCCTCAGGCCCCGGTGTGATGTTCCCCTCCCTGTGTCCGTGTGTTCTCATTGTTCAGCACCCACCTATGAGTGAGAACATGCAGTGTTTGGTTTTCAGTTTTCTGTTCTTGTGTCAGTTTGCTGAGAATGATGGTTTCCAGTTTTATCCATGTCCCTGCAAAGGACATGAACTCATCCTTTTTTATGGCTGCATAGTTGAATTTTCTTACATTTTAAGGTGAAATCATATTCTATTATAGGAATATATCACAGTTTGCTATCCATCCATCAGTTGAAGACACTGGGGTTGTTTCCAGCTTTTGGCTATTGTGAGTAGCACTGCTATGAATGTGCGTGTTTATATTATCCATTTGCAACCCTGGTTTTGGGAATATAGCTAGAGGTTGAATTGATAGATGATATGGTAATTTTATGTTCACTTTTTTTGAGGAGCTGCCGTACTGTTTTTCACGGTGGCTGTACCATCTTATGTTCCCATTGGTGGTATGCAGGAGTTCCAGTTTCTCTATATCCTCACCAACACTTGTTTATTTTCTTTTTTTTTTATCGTAGCCATAATGGGGTGTGAAGTGGTATCTCCTTGTGGTTTTGATTTGCATGTTGCTAATGAATGGTGATGTCAAGCATCTTTTCATGTGCTTATGGACCATTTGCATACCTTTTTGGGAGAAATGTCTGTTCAAGTCTTTTGCCTAGGTTTTAATGTGGTTTTTTGTCAATGTTGGGCTTTAGGAGTTCATGACATGCTCTGGATGTATATGATTGGCAGTCTGTTTTGCATTCTTCGGGTTTCCGTTTCCCTGTTGATCACCTCCTTCGATGCACGGAAATATATGATTTTGATCAAATCCAGCTTACCTGTTTTCTCCTTTTGTTGCCTGTGCTGCTTCTGGTGTCCTATTCAAGACATTGTCACCAAATTCAGTGCCATGAAAGTTTCCCCTGTGTTTTCTTCTAAGAATATTTTACAGTTTTAGCACTTATTTTTAGGTCTCCCGATCCATTTCGAGTCAGTTTTTGTGTGTGGCCTAAGGTAAGGGTCCACCTCCGTTCTTTCACATGTGCTTGTCTGGATTTCCCAGTACGGAGCATTGAAAAGGCTCTTCCATTGAGTGGCCTTGGCTCCCTTGTCAAAAGTCATGCGACCAAGTACGTGAGGGTTGTTTTGGGGTCTCCATTCTGTTCCATTGCTCTTTGTGTTCGTCTGTGCCAGTGCCATACTCTTCTTTATTATTTCTTTTTTCTTTCTTAGGGTTTAACCTGGTATTTTTCTTGCTTTTTGAGAAATGAATATTTATTAGCACAGTGATGTTTTTGTAATCTGTTTATTATGATAATTTTTGAACATAAATAAAAGTAGAAAAATAGTAAAATGAATCTAGCTTGAACAGGTGAATACATTCCCCTCCCATACTTCTCTTTCTTTTTGCTTGATGGGATTATTTTAAAGCATAACTCTTTTATCAAAACATTTTAAGGCATTTTACCTCTTAATGATAAGAATTAAAAAAAAAAAAAAAACGCCGCAAGGCCAGGCACGGTGGCTCACACCTGTAATCCCAGCGTTTTGGGAGGCCAAGGAGGTTGAATCATGAGGTCAGAAGTTTGAGACCAGCCTGGCCAACATGGTGAAACCCCCGTCTCTACTAAAAATATAAAAATTCTTCGGGAGGCCGAGGCGGGTAAATCACAAGGTCAAAAGATTGAGACTATCTTGGTCAACCTGGTGAAACCCTGACTCTACTAAAAAAAAATACAAAAGATTAGCTGGGCATGGTGGTGCGTGCCTGTAATCCCAGCTACTCAGGAGGCTGAGGCAGGAGAATCGCCTGAACCCAGGAGGCGGAGGTTGCGGTGAGCCGAGATTGCACCATTGCACTCCAGCCTGGGCGACAGAGCAAGGCTCTGTCTCAAAACAAAACAAAACAATACAAAACAAAAACCAAAAAACCAACCACAATACCGTTATCCTGTCTATAAGATTAACAGTGATTCCTTAATCTTAACATGCAGTTTGTGTTACATTTTCCTGGACTATCTCAAAAATGCCTTTTTTAGGTGGTAATTTTGAATGAGGACCCGAGCAAGTTCTGTGTGTTGGCATTGGTTGACATATGCTTCTAGGCTCTTTCCTCTAACAACATGGCTCCAGGCCCTCGTCTCCCTGTCTCTGATCATACTGTTTTCTTTTTCAAAGAAGTAGATGGGTTATTTTGGGGAACTTCACAGTTTCTGAACTTGGTTGATTGCATTCTCTTACTCCAGTCCAATGTGTTCTTCTATTAGTTAAATTTCTCTAGTCTGCTGGTTAGATCTAGAGGTTTGGTTGGATTTGAACTCAGTCTTGTTGGGTCAGGGTTATGTCTGAAGTCATGCTGCATGCATTCTGTTGGCTCAGGAGGCCTGTCATGCTCAGTGGCTCCCCACTTTAGTTCTGTGAAGATAGACCGGGGAATTGATGTGTTATATGTCCTCTGTAAAATCCCCGACCAACCTTTCCCTCAGCTGTCTGGTGAGCAGGAGGTAGTTTGTTCAGGGAGGACATGACCTAAGCTTGACTTACTGCACCGCCACCTCCTTTTAACTATTTTTCATGGTACTGAGTTGATATCCTAGCACTTCCAAAGGTGACCACTACTCGGGTTTTCTTTTTTTTTTTTTGAGTATTTTTATGTACTAATGGACTGTTACTGGTTTGGTGTTTTTTATTTTCTTTTTTAGCTTCCCCTCCCAACATATACATTTAAAGGCGTAAATACCCTCAAGCATACATTTAGCTGTATGTCACCAATTTTGTTTTGCAATATTTTTATTATCATTAATTTCAGCACATTTGCTAATTTTCATAGTCATTATTTTCTTGGAATTTTGAGTGTATTTTGTCATTTTCAAATATGTGGGTGAATATTTTTATTTATTTGGGTTAAATTTTTAAAAATGTATTTCTAATTTAGCTGCATTGTAGTCTGCATACATGCTCTGTAAGTTTATTTATTTGAAATCGATTGAGATTTGCTCCATGGCCTGGCATGGCCATATTTGATATTCATGCTGCCTGGATGCTTTTTAAAGCATTCTGTATTTAATAGAATTTGTATTTGTGGTGTTAGTCACAGAGCTAGGAATGTGTTTCTCCATTGTGATTGTGGATTTGTTTATTTTTGCTTGTGGTTCTTTGACATGGTTTGTTCTTTTCACTTTACCTATTGATTGATCGATGGACTGATTCTGCTTTCTGTATATACAGAGTCATTTTTTACAGGTCAGAACTGTAGAAATAATGAGGAAGTAACACTTATACGCAAAGCTGATTTGGAGAACCATAATAAAGATGGAGGCTTCTGGACTGTGATTGATGGGAAAGTGTATGATATAAAGGACTTCCAGACTCAGTCGTTAACAGGAAATAGTATTCTTGGTAAGTTATACCTTCTTATTTAATGGTTAGAAGTTACAGCATGTGTCATTTTAAGCAGAGTATTTGGCTTAGTTTTGTGCTAGCCCCCACATATTTTAATGTATCTGTAACTTTGGTGTTTATCTTATCAACAAATTCAGCACATTTGAAGAATGTGCTATCATTATGCATTTTTTGTTTTAATACTGGGAACTCATTTCAAGTTCTGAGTTGACCCAGGCAACTCTGGGAGACAGTGGGAGGTCATTATACTCTGGTAACCCTCACCTTTGAGTTAAGTGCCTAACTTATTTCCTACTCACTGTTTCTACTAAAGCTCTTTAGATAAATTGAGTTGAACTCATGCTGCTTTTTTCCTTTTTGTTTCAGCTCAGTTTGCAGGGGAAGACCCAGTGGTAGCTTTGGAAGCTGCTTTGCAGTTTGAAGACACCCGGGAATCCATGCATGCATTTTGTGTCGGCCAGTATTTGGAGGTGAGGCCTTGTGCCTTGAGTGTCACACAGGATGTCAGGGGATACCCTGTGTGTGTTTGTGACAGGAATATTTGCATCCAGAAGTACTGACAGCGGGGTCTTTTGAGGGGGGCATTAGGGATAAATAGAAGGATCCTTTAGAAGTTTTTTCATAAGTGAATTTACATTTATTCATGTTAAGATTTAGGATGTGCTGGTCTTGAAAGACTATTTTTTAAATGACTAGTTTGTGAGAAATGTAAATAGTGTTCCACAAGAAAAGAGGTTAAACTTTTGTTCTGACTTATGTAGAAATTTGGAATGGCTTATTGTCTTGAGGTATGTACTTTTTGGGAAGAAATATGCAGAAGTGTAATCCTTTAGAATAGAAATATGTCCTTCCTGTGTATTCACAAACAAATGGAATTTATATATTGGGACTAGCTTTCCAGGTATCCACAAGTAATAAAGTGTATTAAGTGGCAGAAGGGCAGGGCTTAAAGCATTTATGGAGGGGAAAAGTAACTTTGCTGTAAATATCTTCTGTGAGTGGAAAAGTTGAACTCTTGCTTACGGAATGGAGGGTGGAATGCCCAGAGCACCCTGGG